GAAGGAAGGAAGGAAGGAAGGAAGGAAGGAAGGAAGGAAGGAAGGAAGGAAGGAAGGAAGGAAGGAAGGAAGGAAGGAAGGAAGGAAGGAAGGAACTGCAGCAGTTCTGTGTCTGGTCGTTTTGTTTGCATGAATCAGTGCAGCACCACAGACTATCTGCATCAGTGTCTTGGCCCATGCCAGGTAGGATTTGTATCCACAATATTTAAGGATGCTTGCTTTTTTCATTGTACTGAAGACAAGGGGATAGGATGCACCTTTTATCAGTTAATTAAAGTGTATTATATCTGGAGATGGCTGAGCAGAATCAGCATTTGAGAATTCTGTGCAACAAATAAACATTGCACTCATTTCCTCAGATAGCCAGAGCCACTCCTGAGAAGGTGTAAGCACTGAAAATCATGATTTATTTTCTATAAATGAAATTAATGACTTAAAGTATACGTAAGATGTAAGTTTGATGCAGCGATCCAGACTTAAGTAAGAAGGGTGTTAACTCTCATGATGTTTTAATATACATCACGGTGCAGCAAAACTCCAGCACAACCAAGATGTGATCTCAGTGCATTCTGTGAGTATTTAAGCAAAAAGAAGAGTCTATTAGTTGTTGAGAAAATAGGGTCCGTTCAAAACACAGCACTGTTCCCTTCTGAAGGTCCCAAGTTCTTTGGGCCATGATGAGCGATACTCGGCATTTATGAATCTGATTCTCATTCTTTTGTGCAGCTCTAGTGTGTTTACATTGACCACAGGACATTGACATCTACTGTGTTATTTGTAAGTTCCTCTGATCGTAACAAGCTTCTATGTTTTTATGTTAAAACCTCAGATGAAAAAATTTTGGTTGTCACACAAGATGGTGCAGCTCTTTCTGAGTTACATGACTGCTGCTTTTCACCCTGCTAACCAGGTCCTGTATTTGCATCTAAGAGTCTGACTTCATAATGCTGCTTTATTTTTGGCTGTGTGCAAGCTGTTTCTAGTTGAATTAATAGTAAAACTGCTCCTTAGGCAGATAAATATGTAATTAGTAGAAATAATGGAGCAGTAGTCAGTCAGCTGCAAAACTGATGCTTCATCTAAATGTGTGTAAGGCATTTTATTTAGTTGGCATGTTGCTAACATCTATTAAGTTAAATTATGAGAAGTGTTTTGAGGCCTTTCACACGGAATGTGAAGCCTTTCATTCGTTATTTACATGTGTGAATATATATGCATGGAGATTTCCACCCATGAATTAACTCTAGAGGAAAACAAACCACCAGATAAACACAAAGCCTGGGGTTGTGTTCGGCTTTATTATTTTTTCCCTTTAGAAAGCAAAGAAGCATCCTTATGGAATTTTCTGATTAATTTATTCAAAGAGCTTAATTGATGTATCACAACACAGCGCTATCATTTACATGGCATTAAAAAATGGAATTGCTCAGCTCATCACACCGACATCAGCCACCTGAGAGACTAACATGAAGCCAACCTTTGATGGTCATTTTTAGGAATTTGAAACATGTGCTTTCATTTAAATCTGACCTCAGGGTATTGGGTTTGCTAAATACTGAAAGAGTATGCAGCGGTTTATTAACACCAGTTAAAACCGGTAGCTCTGGGTCGCTGGATGGATAGATAGACAGATAGATAGATAGATAGATAGATAGATAGATAGATAGATAGATAGATAGATAGATAGATAGATGGATGGATGGATGGATGGATGGATGGATGGATGGATGGATGGATGGATGGATGGATGGATAGATAGATAGATAGATAGATAGATAGATAGATAGATAGATAGATAGATAGATAGATAGATAGATAGATAGATAAATAGTTCCAGATCCTGTTGGAAGTCACCATGCATCTCAGAGTTTTAATGCAAATACAAAACTCAAAGCAACCTCTGATCTTCTCTACAGGAGTAGATGTTTTTAACTTACCCTGCGCCCCCCCCCCCCCCCCCCCAATCCTTCAGGGTTTGGATCTGAAGGATCACAGGACACTAAGCGGTGTAGAGCAGGACACAGCTGAGCCACAACCAAGACCTGTGACGTGTCATCTCTCAAATCATGGATGTCTCTGCTCTGCAGCCGAAGTTTCTCTACCAGCAACTGTGCCAGGAGCTGTGGGGAGATAAAGGGTGAGAGGAGAATAGATGGGTGAGAAGAGAGTATCTCCATGTACCAGGGTGTTTAACCAGTAGCATAAGAATGACTGGAAAAAAATTACAGATCTTTGTTTTTTCATCTCCCTACAAGCACCAAGTACCTTGTCACACTGCCTCATAATGATCTTAAAGATGATTTTAATGCTTGAAACTTCCTCTGTCGTCAAAGAACAAGACTTTGAGACAGATATGTGGGAATTCCCTTAGCCAAGCATGGCAATTTCAGTTTGTCTGGAGTGATCTGCAAACCACAGACTCCAAAATGAGCAAGGGATTATGTGAATGTTCCTTGTAAGTATTTATTTTTATTTTCTCTAGCAGAAGCTGACAAATAAAGCATCTCCTGCCCTTCAAAACTTTTGCAGTCTGTGCAGAGATTCTGCAAGCGAGGGCTTTGCTTAGTACACTTAATTAGAATTTGCTTATTATAACAGTGGAAAATACAAGCTGGTTTGACTCTGGGAATTAAATTGGCTGCATTCTATTTTTGGTTACCATCAGTTGCTTCCTAGTATTGGCAAAGATGCTCATGAAATCTGGATATGTCTGGAGCAGGAAAGGTTAGTAGATTTAACAGGGAGGCATTAAAAGTTGATTAAAAGAGCAGTTGTAGAAGGATCTCAGTYAGGTGAATCTCTGTTAGACAGGTTTTTGTGGGAACGAGGGCATGAATTGCTGTTACTGAGCAACCCAGACCACAAGATAGAGCCGGGTGAGATAGAAGAGGATGGGAAAGAAGAGGACGTGACTACAGCAGTGTAACATGTACCTCGCACTGACCATGAAGAAGAAACATAGTAAGAAGCAAGAACAARGAGCAATTGARRAACAATAGGACGATTGAAGAAAGTGCAAAATGCTGAGAACGTTGATTTAAAACTGCAAGGCATACAAAAACACGCTTTTGCAAATATACCAATCATATGCTGAAATGTAATAGACAGACTGCTAAATTAACCAATGAATAATTGCTAATCATATAGAGAGGCTGGCTTATGAAAGTAGATAAAAAGGAGCTTGTATTAGAAATAAACGGATCGTGCTCATCATATTGGTGTCTGCGTGACCTGGTGTCCCCGTCGCCCAGAAAGCAGTAACTTGGACTTCAATGTGTAGCATAATTTCAGCATTGCTCCAGGGTAAGTATTCAATTTTGACTCTTTTTTTCATTCCACACCAAATGAAAGAGATGCTTCTCAATACTCATCTTTGATAAACACACTCTAACAATCCTCCATCCAATTGTACGTGACTATATGGCTAAAAAGGCAATCTGTAATAGAGAAAATAGATGTGGCAATAATTATCCTGTGCCCTGCATATCAAACATTAACTATTGCTGCTGGAAAAAAGGGGATGACATCAAAACAAAGTGGGATTTCTTGCACCAGATCAGAAGGTCAATTCAGTTTGCCTGATACTATCTTAAGATATGGGCTGAGCCTGATAATTTATAAGGAAATTAGGAATGCTTCTTTGTAACATTGCAAAGAATGTAGCATGCTTCTTGGGTCCACTATCAGTTGTTTGCACATGATTTTTCCTAGTCAGACATGGAACTCAGAGGGTCTTGAGGTTTCTAATTATAGTTATTTGAGTGTTTTACATCTACAACCTCAATTTTCCATGCAGTTTTACTACCCCCAAAAGCAGTAGCCATCTGTGCTCTGTCTTCAGTTATACAGGAATTGAAATGCTTTGATAACTTCTGCCTGTGAGTGTTGCGGAAAATTCCATGTGGATGTGCAAGCTTATCATCTGATCTTCCAAGAAGCTGGTGAGATTAGCACTAGCCAGAGCGACCAGGCTGTGTACAAGATCTCATCCCAGGCTGGAAGACTCAGTCCCTCAGCAAAAATCACTGCAGCTGTTTCTGGTTGCTCTTGTTTTGCTCTCACATAGCTGAAGATGATTCAGTTTGAAAATACAAGTGCCTAATAAGTAATCGGTGATATGAATTTATCTCTCCTGCTATTTTTTTCTGATTCTTTTTAGAAGGGTTTCAGTGTCGAAAATCTGAAGCTCCTCTCTGAGGGTGACAAAAGTGTTTTGCCCAGATTCCTGTCAGCTAACTGGAGGTGCCTAACCTATGATGTTGAAAGGCACTCACCCAGCAGTAGCTGTCTGAAAGCTGCCGATCCAAATTGGCAGTCTGTCTTCACTTGCCAGTCCAGGACACAGCAGGTATTTTCAGAGAGCACTTCTGAAATAGGTGGGAAAATATTCTCCTACAGGCGGCTGTTTTGTCTCTGACTCTAAAGGGAGCCTACAGTGCTCACTCAAGCTAAAAGCCTGATGCTGGCTTGGTTACCTGAGGTGTGTTATTCCAGTCAGCCTCATGGTTCCCTTCCTGCTGCTCAAACTAGGGGAGAGCCAGGGGTTTCCAGAGGGTTATTCAGTTCACTTGAGAACCAAATCTCTTTTTGGAAAATGCTGCTTTTTCTTTTACTATTAGAAACGGGCAGGTCAGATAGCATTGGGATGAAGCTAGAGGGAGAGATGACTTTTTGCAGAACCCAGGAGCTGTGTTGGTTCTCTGGAAATCTCTCTCTGGGACCTATCTCTCCCAAAGAGGGAAGAATAATGTGTTACTGTCTATGGGACAAAAATGCCTTACCAAAAGCTCTGGACTTCACTTCATGAAGTGAAAATATAGACTATATTGATTAAAAAATAGTAACATCTGTGGCATCTGAACACAAATACTCAGACTTGCTTTTATTTTAAAAGCTAAATACAATGCAAATTTATAACTTGTCCACACTTGCTCCATAGAGGTGGCCTTGCTCATGTTAGCCCTGGTCACATTAACACAAGCCAGAAATATGGGCCACTGTCTTCTGATGTACAGATGAATGTGGTAATCTCTTTTATCTGTCCTGTGTGGTTGGTCAATTAAGCTGCTATGCTAGGTTTATCACATCAGTTCCTCCTCAGCTGGTCAGGTTTTGGGCAGAAGCACACTCATGAGATGGATACACTGAGAGGTATAATCCTGTAACACAAGGTACCACAGGCTGCTGGCTGGAACAGGAAACTAATGCAAACTGCTTACCATTGACAGGTAGGCAAGCCTTAAAAACTGGGGGAGCTTACTTGTGAATTGTGTGAGAAATAAGACAAGACCATGCTGTCTGATTACCTGCTTCAATCTCTTCCAGGGCACAGCAATTTATCATCCTCCCAAAGCCAAAGCCCTTCTCAGTATGGAGAAAAGAGCTGAAGCTCCATGGCCGAGGATCCTTGGGATGCAAGAGTGCTCAGGTCAGAAAAATCTCATAGTCCTGTCTACAATATGTTCTGATTATATTCAGCTGTTGCTCCATGCATGTCAAATATACTCACAGGACAGTCTCCCAAGGAATATTGTGGGGGCAGATGAGGCTTGGTTTCTTGCAAAACTCTCCTAAAGTTGGGCAAAATACGTGCACTCATCCAGGAGAAAGGTGTGATATCTTAATGGGGAAAGCCTGTCCTGCTCTTGTTATAGAGGGAAGACATGAGGGAGAGGGACTATTGGAAGCTGAAGGCAGCTTCCAGGACACAGCTGAGGCCAGGCTGAGCTGGTTTGGGACACAAGACCTTTTCTCTGCATTCTCCTGCACCATGCACTCAGCAGCAGCTGGAGCAGCCTTTGCTTTGGTTCAGCAGCAATCACCATGCTGGCCTTTCTTTAGTGCCTCACACTAATGAGTGTGCCTTGTGCTATTTCAAGGGTACCAGATCAGTCCCCACAGTTTTTGCTAAACAGAAGATGACTTCCATTACCTGACCAGATTTGCTGATCTCTGGGTAGGCACCTCATCCTTGGCACAGCACTGTGGCCAGGTTGTATCAGGCTGCTGAGCATTTCCAGCCATAAACAGGACTGATCTTGTTTGATTTTGAAAGCCACGACTTGGGAAAAATCCCATTGCTCTTTTCTGATCCATTTTCTGCTGACATTAGCTTTATGTCTGAGTTCTTTCCAAGCACAGTCAGAAGAGCAAGCTGCAAGTTTAAGCTCAGTGTGGCCAGTGAATTCCCTCTCTCATCTTAAAAGCCTTCTGCTTTCCCACAGCTCTGTGGCATCTTGTAGGTCTCAGATGGGGAATTACAAGTTGTAAATTTCTGTCCCCCTTTCACACTTCTAAGAGTGAAAAATAAAATGCTGCCAGCATTTTATTTTTGCAGCAGGGCCATCCCTCTGCCTCTGAATAAACATTTGTGTGAGGGCTCTTATTCTTGCCAAGGTGTTAGGATAACATTATCATGCTGATTCCCCTGTCCTCCTTCAGCACCCCCGTGCTGGAGATTCATTTCCGAGGCTTTGAAATGGCCACGCTTTCACCTCGTCCCATACACATGGAAATCAGATCACCAGAAGGAGCAGCAAGTAAATCCCAAATCCCATGGGGTTGCCAACAGGGCAGGTTAGGAAATTATGACCTTCAGTGTTGGATGAAGATGTTGGATGATTGATGGTTGGATGAAGAGGTCCACACAAAGAAACTGCAATGGAAATGGAGGCAGCCAGACTGCCCAGGGCATGGAGGCATGCTAAAGGGCTTGAGCTTCTCTTTCAGATTCCACTGCCCATTTCATCACTATTTCAGCAAAAGCCAGGGCTTTTAACTGTTTGCTTATGGTTATAAGCACAGGACAGAGCATTTCTTACAATTAACCACTGTCTGTGTAAGGATTCGGATGTAATCTGACCAAAAACTGCTGAGAATCAATAGAGAAAGCACAGTCATCACCCTCATCTCAACACATGCACACTCTGTAGAGGACACCAGGTACTCAGGCTGCTTTTCATCTGGCTTAAACATCAGATGTTAATACTTTTGTGTACCTTGCAGATCCTGGTGAAGATCAGCGTTTCTCTCTAGTGCAGCAGAGGTGTGTTAAAACCCACCAGGATTTACACACATTCTCTTCAGAAGCTCAGCTGTAAAAATAATTCTCATCACACATTACAAAGCTGACTGTGGTGTTAAACACAGCAGACATTTGGTGAAGCATGCTTCTGGACAGGAGCAAGGAGTTGTTAAGCATGCTAAGAAACAGTTCTCTCATTCAAACAGAGGACACCAAAATGGTTTTTGAATAAGAACTCACTGAGTTTTTTTCCCCCTTTCATCTTGTCAGGAAATCTTTGTGAACTTCCCTCCTCTCCATTTGCTTTCCTTCCCCTTTCTCTGCTGTCATTTACCAGCTGGGCCATTTTCTTCAAAGTACCTTCCAAATGTCACAACCACTGAACAACCACAGCAAATAATGGAATGCTCTAGTAACCTTTCCCAGAGCAGTTATATACCAGCGCTGAATAATTTGACCTGCTCTCATTCTTATTCCCATTCTTGGGAACGTATTTCACAGTAGTAGTAGAGGAAAGAGAATGGGTTTAAGATTTTGTCTCCTTTTCTCTTGGTTCTCTTTTGATGTAAGAAAAGCTCCACAAACATGAACTAGAAAAACCATACAGCCCAAACCAGGTACCCCTCAGAAGGAGTGTGCCAGCTAATGCAGCATGAGGAACATTTCCATTTTGAGTGCTGTTGTGCATGCTTCACCATGTACCCCTAATTATATGAAAATTACTTAGACATCCTCAGGGACCTCTAAAAAAGATTAATCCATAACAATAAAGGGCTGGGATATAGCAAAGATGTGCACAGATTTGAACACAGGGTTTCACCCTGGGAGAGACGAACTGTGATACAGGATTTCAGGCAGTAATTCAACTCTTACGTCAGTTTTTATAAAACAAGTGTTTTTCAAAGAGCCATGAGAACTGCTTTTTTGCCTATTCTTTCTAATGCGTCAAAAGGCACTTGCTGGAAAGGCGCATGCTAATTGACATTTAACCATGATAAATATGTTAAGATGGCCTACTTGACTGATCTTGGAATTTCTCTATAATTTCATTCAGTGTTGGTTAAAGTTCTCATCTGCCAGATGAATTATTTCTATCTGTTTCTTTGATCACTTTGAATTTCACACTATTTTGTATTCAAGGTGTGCCTGGAGCAGTGTCCTCAAACCATCTCCTATCCAACATGAGAAAACAAATATTGAAATCAGGATTTAAGCTTTGAAGATGATCTTATTGCAGTCTCAATCAGATCTCTGGATCTACTCTGGATCAGATCACTGCCCCCTTTCTCTTTCACAGGGTCAGGGCAATGCTGAAAGCGTTGTCTTTCTCACAATAGTTTCCCCTCCTTCACTTCAGGCCTTTCACTGAACATAATTTCTCTTTCCCTTAACAAGCAACCAGGGACCTTATCTCCTGTCACTAGAGAGACACCTCAAACCTAATCTGAGTTACTCACTCTCTTTTACAGGTCAGGAGTGAGCAGAGGCTTCCTCTGCAGCTCTCAGAGGTGTGGGTTTAGCCACACACTTAACCCGTTTGCATGTAAGTTCCTCCTGAGCTGCTTTCCATTTGCATCAAACAAAACAGTAGCACTGAGGGAAACCAAAGTCAGGGTCTGAAGCCCTTCATGTTTCAGGTTTGTGAGGAGCACAATCAGGGCACATGTGGTGCTGGGATGACCTGTTCCCAACCAGTCTGGTGGCAGAGCACATTCCTGTTTCAAGCATGACCTTGGGAAAATTGTTTGACCTGTCCGCTGTGTCTTTATTTCCCAGTTTTGAACTCAAGTTGATACGTTGCTGCCTCATTTGCTGGATTGCATGAGTAAATTAATGAACCTTTCAGAGCAACTCAGAGACCACAGTGACATAAATAGAGCTGGCCAGGAAACTCTTCTCAAATGCTTCAACTTTATTGCACATCAAGATAAAACAATCTTTCAAAGGCTGCTTGGTGGACTGGTAATTGAAACAAAAACATACACAAAACAAACATCATTTTGACGTAAGTGTGCTCATATGGGATGTGGATTCACATTCAAATTGCCATTGACTCCAGAGAGGGTCTTGAACCTGGGGCTTTCCTTTCCTGGAAAACTTCAGAATTATGGTACAGAATAAAAGCTGGCTATGTTAACAAAAAAAACCAAACCAAACCAAACCAAACCAAACCAAACCAAACCAAAAAAAAAACAAAAAAAAAACCAAAAAAAAACAAACAAACAAAAAAAAAACCTGGCTCTGAACATAGTAAGAATAGGAGGAATGTGATTCATGAGTGCAAATTTTAACCAGCACTTATAGAGAAGGCAAGGCACAATGGGGAAGAAAAAAAACAGAAAGAGAACACAAAAAGGCCTGCATATCTATCATCAAATGTGTCCTTTCCAAAGCTGTGGAAAAAAGCATCACGGAGAGTGCAACACAGTAGGCTAGGTGTGGACTGAATGCATAAACCTGTCTTCAAAGCGTGGAGTAGTGAGGTGTGAAACAGACAAATTTAGAGAAAGGAGAGCTATGGCAGCAGCAGCATCAAAACGTAGAGACTAGAGACTAACACAGCCTTGTTTAAGAGAAATTAGAGGCAGAGAGAGGGGAGGGAGAAAGTATTAATAGATTATAAGATTATCACACATTTCTAAAGAGGCCTGAAAGAACTGACTTCCTGCTGAGGGTTCCTCTCATAGTGGTGTGAACAAGCATCATACTGTCACCTGCGAAGTCTTTAGGTGCAAGTGGTGACACTTCAGCATTCACAGCCTGCCTTAGAAAATCCAGGGGAAGCAAAAGGAAGATGAAAACCATGCAAGTCAAAAGGGTGTTGCTCCCATTGTTGTCCTTGCTGCTTGGTTAACTGGGAATCCCTTTGAGCAACAGAGGGGTCACATCTGTCCAGATGTGCTGTGCTTGCACCAGAGGGCAGGGCACTGTGGAAGCAGCTCCACACAAACACCTTTCACCGTAATAATGCAATGAAATCTCCCTTCTTGGCAGGACCAAGCTCTCACGAAAGCATGTTTTTAGCAGAGTGTATACCTGCAAGAACAACACCTGCGGAAGATTATTATTGCCCTGTGACATGGCAGCACAGCCCCTTTAACAGAAAAGGCAGGACTGAAAACACTCAGGACAGTCATGAACTTCATGGACTCCTGAGACCGAGTCTGAGCGACCAAAGATAAGATTGGGTGCCCCCAGGCTGTCTCCAGCCAGGACCTTGGTCATGGCTGCTGCACCCCTGGCCATGAGTTCCTGCTGGTTCCAGATTGAGGACAGAACATGCTGTCAGGTGTGTGAAAACGTGAAGCTGAAGGAAGCTGCTTGTGGCTTTGGCAGAAGGGACCGTGAGCTTCACAGTATCATAGCAATGAACAGGTTGGGCACCAAAAACAGAGGATAAAGGAAAATCAGCCTGAGATCTTGACACCAGATAATGAAATGGCTGATCAGTGGGGTCACTGGAGTGTTGTGCTGAACCCAAGAAAGAGGTTAGCCATGTCCATATGTTTTGCTGTGTGTGTTTACACCTTGTAACATAACTTGTAACATAACTTGTAACACCACATAACTGCCCCAAAGAGAGTCTTGCCTTCCAAGGGGAGCTCTGCTATCTCCCGCAGGAAGCAATGGGCTGCCAGTCCAGCCTTGCTGATGTACTGTGTAATGTGAATCTGGAACAAACAGAGATAATCAAAATCCTTTATTTAGGTGATATAACACGAGTAATAAAGCCTGGCTTATTTTCCAGGAAGAGGTGTGTGAGAGGGTTTCTTTTGGGAGTATGGAGAATATGCTCTGAGTGTATGCTTGCCTAGCTTTAATACTTATTTCTAGCGTGGATAACCCCATTCATTTGATGTCCAACCCTATAAAAAGGACACAAGTAAGGATGAGAACTAACTTTATGATCCGCAGCCCTACAATACCTCACAGCCATTTTCAGCAACAAAAAAAAAAGCTGCTCATGTTCTTGATTCTTCTTGGGAGACAAGATGTTGTCTATAGCCACCACCAAAAAAAAAAAAAAAATCAAGTGAACTTCAAATGCTTTGCTTTTCACTCTTATTCACCCCTCCCCAGCAGTCCATTTCTCTTTTGAAACAGCAATATAATGTGTCTGGCAGACACTTATTGAAGAGCTGTTTGAGCTTGCCTTCCCTGCATTTCAAGAAAAAGTATTTTCCCTCTTCTAATGAAAATTCACTTTTTTGGTCTTCCTTTATTCATTTATTTTTGAGGCCTTCCACCTCTGTTAAGTGTGGGAAAGGCTTCCCTTTGCCAGGGTACAGCATGCATTGTAAAAGTAATTAAATTTTACACCATAACAATGACATGATCAAGGGAACTTTGAGCTGGCTTTGTGATCAAGAGCATTTCACAAGTATGTGAAAAGCTTCCAAAGAGCCCTGGTGAAAGAAAGGAAGATTATAACAATAGGAGAGGTATTTTGATAGCGGTAAATTAAGAGTCATAGGAGTGACTCTAATCAGGTTAAGCTTCAAAGAAAGAAAAGCACCTTTATATCTCTTGGGTACAGGCCTGAGTGCATTAAGAACTGTTGAAATTGTATTGGGACCTACACAAATCCCTGTGGTGCTCAGCTCTTGCTCCTCCTTGGGCTGAAGAATTCAACCCTGAAAGGAGAAAGCTTTTTCTAGGCAAAATAAGTAAAACTGCATAATTGGACTAAGTACCTTGGAAAAAGAATATTGAGTTGGTTTGGGGATTTTTGGTCAATATCTAGAACTCTTTAGGAGTTGTTATCTTCCATTTTGTTCCCTGTGGAAACCTTCTGGCAGTGTCAGCATGGGGAGAGCCTGGTGCATAAAAGTAGTGATGAACCATTCACACATGTTACAAGTTTTCAAGATCTGTGGAGCCTGAGCCCGATGCTGCCCTGAGCTACACCCCAGTGAAGTGCATCATGTGTCACATGCAAGTGACAGATATTTATATACGCTGTATAAATATGTGTATTCACATGCACATAAGGTACAATGGTTCTGGGCACATCATTAGAAGTCTGGGCTGGTAAAGGATGTGTACAGAGGTGTACACTTTAATGGAGAATCCAGCTATCTAAATAAATAACACCTACAGACAATCAATTTGTTAGGGTTAGTTTTGTTGTTTCTCACATATGGCTTATTCAACAACTTTTATATATCTTTTACTGTGAAAAATGCTCAGATTTTACCCAGGAAAAATATTATAACTTGTCTTTGTTGAGGGGAAAAAAAAAAGAAATGAAAAGTTGGGGCTGCCTCAATTTTCCAATCGACAGGGACACCTACAGGAAGACAAAATTAACACACTGGCATATTGGGTATTTTCGGCTTTATTTGTTCACAGCTTGAGCCTATTACCTAATAGAGACACAAGAAAATGGCCCATCTGTTTGCAGTGGGCAAATGTGTGAGTAGTACTCTCTGGGGCTTCCTGGGAGAAGGGCTGCTTTTCAAGGATGTATTTACTTTACTCTCTGTTTTCTCAACGGTGTATATAACTCAATACTAAAAGGCTAATTTGTTTAAGAAAACCAGACCTGACTTCTCCAGTTAATTGCTTACAGAAAAAGCCATAGGTACTGCATGGATTCTGTGTGCTTTGCTGAGTGCACTACAGTGGCCTCCACTATGTGGCCATCGAGGATTCCTAAAAGCCAGCTCGATGGCAGCAAAGCACTCATTGTTCCTGTCCTGCATGCTCTGGTGAGGCTGCAGCTCTTGGAAAAGATCGGGGATGTGTAAGGAGTGGGAGAGAGACAAAAGTCTGTCTATCAAGGAATGGAGATGAGGCAGTTGGAAGGGAAAGTCTGCTCAGGGGCACATGGGATTTGGGATATGATTAATACTTTGGCAGAATGTTAACAAGAACAGGATCTGGCAACTGAGAGGAAATGCCTATGTGTTCTCTTGCAACCAGCCTCAAGCCAGAAGAGGAGCCTGTGCTCAGGCCAAAGTGAATCCAAGCATCTGCATGTACATGAGCAGAAACAATCTATAAAACACGGAATTCAGAGACCCTCATCCTGCTGGACCTGTTCCTCCAGCAGGAGATGGATCTGCTTTGTAGCTCCTTTTATCAAAGGGAAACAGAAGAGATTTTTGACAAACAGCAACATTCTCTCCAAACCATGTCAGCAGTCACTGCATCCTCTCCCCAGCATCTTCACCACTCAAGATTTTAAAACAATTTTTGAAACTCCTCCAGTTAAAACCACTGATGCCAGAGGCAGCCTTTATTTCTCTCTAGTCTGCAGGGCAGAACTGCTTGAAGGTATTAGCTATGCTAAGCCTCTTAAATAACTATTAAACACATAAAACTCTTAAATGCACGCAAATCCTGTGTAGCAAATGGCAAACAATAAGGAAAAGCTGATCAACCATTATACGGCAATTTAATCTATGCAATTTGCATAATTTTGCCCAACAGAAGAAGGCTATGGTAAAATTGCTCTCCAAAGAAAGGCAGAAATGCTGTACCAAACAGGTAAACAATCAGGAATGAGGATTTTGCAAGAACTTGGCAAATTCTTGGCATATGGACAAAGGGAATGTGATATAATTGCAGGGGATGTGATGCAGATGAACTGGAGGAGACAAAAGACAAGTTGAGAGCATGTAAAAAAATCATTTTGCAATCAAATTAGGGACTTTAGAACAAAGGTTGAATATGTACTTTTAACTCTGTCCTTCTGTATCATTGCAGTAAACTTAGTTGTGGGCATCCTGTACCTGCATTCCAGCACTCATAACTCCTACATACAAACTGCAGCTTCCTGCAGTGTTTGTGCATGTGCAGCACCTCTGCGTTTGGACAGATCAAAGACTGGTCACTGTGCAGCAGTCTGCTTTGCAGATGGCCACAAGGTAAATGTGCCACCAGCACTAGAACTCGGGGACACCCAACAATGTAGCCTGTGCCTCCTGTGGGGTTCCTGCAGAACCTGTTTTCTCTGGTTTTCAGTCTGTAAGGTGGGTTTATATTTCCAGTAATGCCTAGCGCACTGTGGACTACATAACACTGATATAAACTCACATATTTAGTGTGCAGGTATTTCAGTGACAGGAGCTGTGCAACTTGTAAGTAAATAAGTGGAGGCTGCATGTCATTGCAGAGCCACCTGCTTAGGGTCAGCCTCTGCACCCCATGAATTTACACCAGGAGCTCACTAACAACTTAGTGCTGGGCTGCAAAGCAAGGTGGGTTGGTGGTTGTTTTTTTTCAGGAATATCAACTATTATGTTCCCAGCAATCTGGTGGTCATCAATGCCTTGCTGATAAACTGGAAATCTTCACTTTCTTCTATCCTCACCTCTCAAATGACCCATGAAAGAGCCTTGGAGATCAAAGAAATCCTCTTCCATCTTTATCCTTCAGACAGAAAAACTGATGGGATTTAGCACCCATGTGGGAATATGAGCATTCATAGCTGGGGAGTGGTAAGGGTGGAAAATGACTGGGGGAGGTGGTGATGGAAGAGCCCAGAAAATGAATTATCTGGGGAGGAGGTGATTACTGAATTGGGGGTTTTCATTGTAAGTGTGAGAGGACAGAAGAGAAATTACTTCCTCTGCCCCAAATAAAGATCAAGGAGTATTTGCATTCAAAGGAGTTGGGTTGTGCACATACCTCTTTGGCCCCCTTCTTTTAACTGGAAATCCTCACTAATTAATTGCTCTGCAAATTCTGCTTCTGCACATCATATAACTGAAGGGCTTGTTTGTTTCTCTGATACTGACTGCATGTGTTCCTTAACCTTGCATTTTTCTCTTTAAAGCCAAATGAAAAGTATGAAGGAGTTGGTGAAAAAAATAGGGGATTCTCTGAAATTTTTAAAGGATCCTGGAATTCCAATATGTTCAAGTATAAGTGTGTGTGCTACAGACTACCAAACAAAATGTCCAGTAACAGTTACCCATTGTTATTCCTATTTTTTCTTTCCAGCACTTTTAGGTTTTATCTCAAATTAACTTAGTAAACTCAGCAACGCGTGGGCTTTTCACAGCACCTTAGGCAGACTGAAGTGGAATTGATGAATAATCAGTGATGCAACAGCTGTTATCCAGAGATAACAGAGGTCTTCAGGCTGCAGATGTGCATGGGGTCAAGGGAGACAATGTTGTACATGAAAAAGACATACAATGGAGTTCTGTGTATTTTCTTCAGATTTCAAGAACAAAGAAGCAACGATCTTTTGTCTGCTGCTGCCATTCCCTGCTTCACCATTAAGGTCGTTTTCTTTTCTTTTTTTTTTTTTTTTCCTTAATGGGAGGTATTTTGAAATAGACCTCTGTCAATCATGCCCTGAAAAAAATGAGCCCATCCATGAGCAGAAGCCTTTTAAAAAGTTGAAAAATGCTGAACGTCAAAATGTGTAGCAATAAGTTAACATAACACTTTGGATACATGTAATTTGGATATTTATTTCAAAGACACGTTCTTTTTTAATCACTCAGTATGCCAAGTTTCAAAGGAAAATGAAAAATCGAAGAAAACAAGACTTGCGCTCAGTAAAGATCTTTCCAGCCTCCAACAGTGGTCAAGAGAACTGTGTAAGGACAGGGCTAGCAAAGAGAAACCATTCCTTCAGTGTATCTTCCTGGCATTCTGTGATTAAAGAATTTCTGAGTTCATGTTGTATCCAGATCTTTGTGTTGAATTGCATTTATAAACCATTCTTGTCTAGCTTTGTTTCTTTGTGTTTATAATTGATACTATACAGGAAAAGATGCTGCCTCTCTTCTGATCTTGCCGTTCATTGTTTCAGGTGAAGCCCATTAATATTTGTATTGTGAGAAGTGGTGAAAATCTTTTCCCTTGCTGCCTCTCTATATCTGTCACAATGTTATATACATCACTGCTGTTGCTCAGTTAGAGTCTGTCTGCTTAGTCGCACTCAAAAATCACCTCTGCTTTTAAGCACATTTGTGCAATATTTCACCGGGCTTCCAGCGCAGCTGGGGAAGGAAGCGCAAGACAAACCTTGAGCTGTGCCATCGTCCTCCGGAACGTGCCAAGCTTGCCTGACGAGCAGTCCCGGGCAATCCGGACGGGAGCAGGCAGCTCCTCCCAGCCTCTCCCCACAAGTGCCAAACCTCTGAAGCCCTGCCGTGCCAGGTAAAAACACGCGAGGATAAATTTGTGTAATGCTGTGCCACGGGAACAGCTCACCAGCAAAGCCAGCGCACATCGCCTGAGGCTGGGCATAAACTTCTGTATTCCTCTTGTCAGGCACGGGTGCAGCTGCGAGGAGAGGAGCCCAGGAGCCGAGTTCTGTGCCAGGTGTGTGCCAGGAGCCCCGGAGCAGAGCTGTGTGCCAGCTGGGATCCAGGAGCCAGGCGTGCCGCTGCCTGCGTCCCGGCCCAAACCTCTCCCTGGAGCTGCCCGCAGGCTGCCCCACGCGCTTGGCTGCCAGTCCCTGTGCCACATCCCAGTGCCCTGCCATGAAGCAATTATTTATTCTCACCGGAGAGCCTTAATGAAGTAATTACAGTCTAACTGTTGGTTTTTTTTAAAGGAAGGTGAGTGCTCTTAGACCATCTCCCCACGTAGGCAGGGGTGCATTCTTCCTCTGTGAAGCATCCGGAATATTGAAGAGACAGAGCTGTGCTGGGCTTAGCTGAGAAATGCGAGTGAGAGCACACAGAAGTTATGCTCCCAGCTCAACTTGTTATTTTTTATGGTTCCCGTCCCCAACAGAGGACAATGGCTTCTGTTGCTCTTACAGTCCATGGGAAGCTGTGTTTGACAGTACACTCTCAACACTTCAGGTTTGTTTTTTTTTCTGTTTGGGTTTTATTTTACTGTTGTTAGGATTTTAGCTCTTTTTTGTTGTTGTTTTGGGTTTTTTAATTGCTTTCTCCCCTCCTCCACACTTTATTCTTTTGGGATAGGACTGCCATTCACCAGCTGTTCACAATTCCTTCACCCCTTCTGTTTTTCAGTACCATACTGCCACGACATAGACTCAAAGGACATTTTATTCCTTGCTGGAGGCTTCCCACACCCACTGAATACATTTAATAAAAATACTTCTCTCTCTCTTTCCTGCCTTAGAGAAAAGTTGATATATCTGTACTCCTCACAAAATTCAGATTGACCTATCATCCTCAAACTGCCCAAGTTTGATTTCTTGAAGGGTTTTAGATCCTAGAATGACTTGATTTTGTCTCTCCTTGATAAAACAAGCTCATCCACAAAGTGAGTATTCAGCAAGTACTTTTGAATAAAATGTTTGTTCATCACCTCATAAATCTGACCTCCAAGTCCCTGCCCTTTCCATTTTGCTTTGTGTAATAGGGTTTTTTTCTAGGCTGAAACTTGCGCAAAAATCAGCACATTCCCACATATCAGGAACTGATATCCAAAAGAGGATAACTGGGATGACACTGTGAAGCAATTGACTACAGCAAAGGTGTCTGCTGAAGGAAGGAGAGCTATAGCTGGGCGATGTGCAGAGCATGGCAACTCCCACTGTTGCTAACAGGAGAAGAGGCTGCTGAACTCCTCTCAGGAATGTACTGTTTCAATTTCTAAATGAGCTATTTGTTCACTTGTTAAAGAACTCCTCTCTCAGGGCAGTGACTCTCAAAGATATTAAGAGTGGCTGCACGCAGCCACCAGAGAATTCATTGCAGCCACAAGACAAAAACTCGCTCTGATTGTTCAGTTCTGTTTTGACTTAAACCATCAAAACTGTGGCCACCATCGATTTATTGTGATCATATGTCACAGCTGCTTGTCTGAGAGGTGCTGGTTAGGGCATCCTCTTTTGGGCTCTTGGAGCAGGAGTGCTAAGGTGCCTCTAACAGGCCACATTAGCTCACCTGCAAAGCCTCTCTAAAATGCATCATGTCCATGTGGCTGCTTAGGCAACAGTGGCAAAACCTGGAGCAGTCCTCTCCTTATAGTGGATGAAACAGAGGGCTCAGTGTACTTTTCTGGTGCCAGCTTGGCTTTCTTCCCAAGTTCGGGATGAGACAGAGTGGCGCCGCTTGTCCTTGCTGGCCACCGAATTGCTCCAGGAGCAAAATCAAAGCAGCCGCAGAGGGGGTGGCAATCCTCAGAAAACTGTTTGCTCAAGCTAACAAACCCGATCTAGCTAAACAACAGCTAGGCAACAATGTAACTCTGCTGCCCACAGTGAGCAAGGATTCCCACAGCTCCGATGCTGAGGTCCAAAAAGCCAACAGCTGCGTGGCAGCCCCAGCTTTTAAACTGCCCGTGCCGCTCCTGCCCCTACTTCCGAGTTGGATTTGAATGCACAGACACCTTTTGGGCATAAAAGCTGATGGAATATAGGAATACAGGATTGGCACAACATCAGSCCAAGACAATGTTCAAGGTCCATCCTTTCCCTATGGAGTAAATGTGATGCCTCACAGGCATCAAAACAACCCCAAAGCCAGATTTTCTAAGGAACCAGCCACACCAGACTTTGTGTGCAAAAAAGGCCCTAATCCAAGAGAGTCTCAGAGACAGATTGACTCAGGACTAATCCCCTTCAGAAAAAGATCCTGCTCATGAGATGGCTTCTTTTCCATTGCTGGCAGACAATGACAAAATTAAGCACATGAACCAACTTATTTTCCAAAGGCAAAGTTGCAGAATTTCACACAAAAGCCCAGTTCTATAGAAGCATTTGCTTCTATGGCTTAGCACAGGACTTGCACTTGGTTCAAAACTTGCAAAAAATAACCCAAAAGAGCGAAAGAAAATTGAGTACTTTGGCTTTAAGGAAAAAGATTGACTGTGGACAAATAGTAATACTCTAACAGTGAGATAAGGCATTGATTTGCTGCTGCTGGTCTGTTATGAGAACTGCTTGCAAGAGGAAAATTGGGGACCCCTAAAATTACTGAGACAGGACCAAGCAACCAGCTAGAAACACTTCTTACAAAAAAACTGCAGTCCAGGTGAAGTGAGGCATCCAGGAAAGGCTGCAGCTGAGTTGAGTAACTGCTGGTGAAGGAAAGTCAACAACAAGTTGGGTAGGCTAGAAGCAGCAGTGGGAAATAGACTCTGCTGCTGGGTTTGGGGCTCTTCTCAGGGGGAAGCTGGATGAGACTTCCTGTAGAAGAGGTGAAAGCTGAGGACCAGTGAAGCTTGAATAAGGTGAACCCAAATGTAAGCATCTGAATTACTGTCTTTTAAGAGGAGAGTTTGATATTTCTGGCCTGTGAATCCTTTGAGCATTTGGGCACAGTCCAGGTGCATGTGCGCAATCTGTGTAGGACATGTGCAGGGGGCTGGATATGCTCTCCCTGCACAGACCTGCAGTGTAGCATGCAGGATGTGTCTCTTGCTGCTAGAACCTCAGTTTGTCCCCTCCAAGAACACTGGGAAGGCTGCAGAGGGTGCATGTGGTGAAAGCACCAGGTCTGCAGCATCTGCAGTGGCTGGCAGAGGTTACTGCCCTGCCTGTGGATTATGAAATGTTCACAGCACACCTGAGCAAAGCTTACAGGAGAAAGAGGTGCTGAACCTGTGGCAATTGCCCTTGTTTGCTGGTGATGAAGGAGCACGCTGCCCACACCAGGCTGCTGTGCCTGTCTCCACCTGCTGACAGAACCTCTCGTCTGCTGCCTCGAGCTCCTCTCCGATATGTGGCACATGTCAGAAAATGCGCGGGTGGCATAAGTCCCTCAAAGTCTTAGTTGTGTAGAGAACTTGTGAGTTGAAGAGACCCAGGAAGTTGCACGTGACTAGCTGTGACTTCGTGCCCAGATCCTCCAGAAGGATGAGGAAGGCAGCCTTTCCTTCTTCACTTTCTCAAGTAAAACAAAAAAAAAAAAACCCAGGGACAACTCTTTTGTAAGGGTCATGTCTGTTAAGACAGCCAGCCCAGATGTGTCTGGCACTGTAAATAAGGCTAAGGAAATTTAGAACCTTCTAAGATGAGGCAGCAGCTAAGCACATGTTTTGTTTTGGATTTGTTGTTTTTTTGGGGGGTTTTGTTTTGTTTTGTTTTGTTTTTTGTTTTTTTTTTTTTTTTTTTTTTTTTTTTTTTTTTTTTTTTTTTTTTTTTTTTTTTTTTTTTTTTTTTTCAAATCACTACTTTGTTGGTTTTTGTTTTTTTTAAATAAAGGAGGCTTTTTTAACAAGTCAAAATCTCTTTCAGTTTGCATCCCTCCCCCATTCAAACAGAATGTAACAAAATAGAGCTGGCTCAAAATACTCTTGTGATACTTCCTGAAATGCCATAAGAACCCATGTCTTCCATGGCAAGTCACTTTTAAGGCTGAGACATATATCTGTTTTGTGATATGCTGTGGGTTAGTATTTGATGGGTGGGTGCATCCCAGGCCATGGAGCTGCAAGTTCAGAATCTTTGACCAAGTAAGTTCACGTTTATCCAAAGCAGCTTCTGCTTTCAGCAGTGCAGACAGCTTACATACTGGGAAACTGTTGAAGAAAATCCACAGCCCAAAGGATTTTTCCCCTAATAATACTTCCGTTCAAAACGGCACAAAGCCAACAGTAGCGTAAGGGCACAGATCAGCAACATGTGAATGCAATACAGGGCATTCTCAACTATGAAATGATCTCCTGTCTTTCAGAAAGGATAATATTTTCTGACATTTTAATCCCAAATCTAATTTCTTTAGATCTGTTTCATCTTAAATTCACTGTTTTGCACCTATTTCTAGCACATATATGACAAGCCAATTTAAAAGAGACAGCTGTGCTGGAGAAATCAATCTGCAAAGCAACCATGTACGCTGGCTAACATCAGGCACAAGAGAGAGGCACAGCAGATTGTTTCTGAGCTTATCCTAAATCCTTTGGTCTCCCAGAAGTGCCAAGGGCTTGTGGTCAAAGCCAGGCTGCCCCCAGGTGAGGAGGGCACGGGGGTGTGGGGCTACCTCTGCCAGGTCCCCAGGGTTTGAGCAAAAAGTCTGCAGCGAGCCTGCCTTTTCACACGAGGGAGGGAGCTGGGAGGTGCAGCCTCAATTCTCGTCAATCCAGAGCAGTGCAAACGTATTTTGTGCTTT